AACACAAGATATGGCCTTAAAGCAAATAACAGAATATAACTGAATTATAATTTAAAGATGTTTAAATGAAATGTAAGTAATTGTATTTTTAGTCATTTGTGGTTGTGAAGGAGAGTTCTTGATTGTCCCTGATGCCTCAAAATAAAAAATTATTGGTATAAAGTGTTGACAGATTGATATATTGGTTTAGCCTTATTTTATAACCTTTTTCTATTAACTGAATTCCAGTTTATTTTAATTACTAGAGTTACCACAACTTAAATAAGCTTAAAGTGGATTCTTGGCAGTGGGCTGTGGTAACTATGTTCCTTCTCTGCAATCTTAACTACTATAAAATGTCTGCAACAGCTGCACAGGCAAAGGATTGTAATCTGGCTCCAGCAAGCCGGCACTAAGACAGTACAAGTCAGAGATAACTTTGCAACTCTATGCATTCCCACAGAGTTGAACAGCTGGCTTGCCAAAATAGAAATATTTAAATCTCTGTATAGGTTTGCACCATATGAAACACTGGCGATACCTGTAAATATGAATTGCTGATATGATAAATATTTAAAGTGTCACAACGATTTCTTGTGATATCTCTAAAAGGTGTGTCTCCTGTACACAGTCTGCCTTCATGTAACATACTGCATGTCTAATCAGAGTATCTAATTGCATCACATGAAGTACAGTCTCAGTTTACTGTACCAGTCAGAGGTGGTGGGTTGCCTGTATCTGGTCACCTCTTGGAATAGATGCTGGCCTTTACTTAGAAAGACCATACTGAGTAAGCTGGCAACCGAATGTCTCTGTACTAGTATATGACTTTAGGGTCACATTCTTACCTGTGTTTCCACTGGAGGAACTAGGGTTTAAATTTAATTTTGGGGCATAGTTCTACTGTTAAAAAAAAAGTCTCATGTTGGAGGTGGGGAGGGGCGGGGGGAGTTTTTTTTGAAAGTCCAAAAAATATCCAGGACCCTCTTTACATTCTTGAGGATAATGAGAAGAGCTACATAGTACTGACAACTCAGGTCTACATTTCCATCATATCAGGAAACATTACATTATGAGCAGGCTCACTAACTGTCCAGGCTTTACATTCTGGCTGCACTGATAGCTTTAATAATGAATTTCAAACTCAGGCACTGAGCTAGTCTTTTTTTCTCATACTCATATAATTTGTGTGCAGTAAAATGATATGGTGACAAAGCTTTTATTGAAAACAGAACGTGGAAATCAGAGGTTCAGTATTTGTAAGCACTTACAAATGCAGGCTCACTCCAGCCCCTGGAGTGAGCCTGCAAGGGGAGGAAGAATTTTGATAATATAAATGATATATTTACTGTCTAGTGATCATATACAAGTCATATCTACTAGCATGTTGAATACTTTGCAGTAGGAGCACTGCTCCTCTTTCTTTAGTCTGTCCAATAATGGGGTGAAGAAATGGAGAAGCAGTTTGATGACGTTTCATGAGATGGTTCTGACATTTTTCACAGAAATCAATCTATAACACAGTGACATGAGTAGTATGTAGTTGTTTAAGAGTTATAAAAACTATGTAGAATAGTGCCTAACACAAATATTTTATTTATATACCAATATCTGTAAATACAAATTCCATTCCTAAACATTAAAGTGATTCTTATTGTAAAACCAGATCTAGTGCATATGTATGTCTGCTTTCATTTTAGACAACATAGTTATAACAAGACAGATTTCAGGTGTGACAAGTGTGGAAAACCACAAGGCGGAGACAAATACACAGGTTGGCAGTACAGTAGTTAGATTATGCAGTTTTATATAGCAACAAACTAATGTGGACACCCAGAAATTACACCGGCATGCGATTGTTGAACATCTTGTTCCAAAACTATGGTCATCAGTCCACTGCTACAATAGCACCTGATCTTCGGGGAATATTTTCCACAATATTTTGAAATCTCGCTGCTAGGGTTTTCTCCTCTTCAGCCACAAGAGCATTAGCGAGGCTGAACACTGCTTTTGGATTTTGGTCTGGTAAAATATGAGTCACAGTCTGTGTTGCTATTCATAAAAAGTGTTGAATGAGTTGAGATGAATGGAAGGCTATGTGCATGCCACTCAAGTTCTTCTGAAGAATGATGATTTGATATGCCTAATAAAGGTGTACTGTTCTTGTATTAAACTAACTACCTCCTTCCAACAGAGGCTGGATCACACACACACTTCCAATATAGTCAATGGTGAAACAAGTAATCTGATTCTTTGCAGAAGTGAAAGTAACAATTACACAGTGTAAAACTTGTTTATGCTCACCATCTCCTTCCTAGAGCAGGCAGACACACACAAGGAAAGACAGGAGAGATACACAGACACAACAGATTTAGAAGAGACTCAACTCGGAGCCACACAAAAGAAGAAGGCTGAAGGTATAGCCCAAATGATAGCTGTGTCTTCTAAAGTGTTTGTTTCTATCTTATTGTGTGTTGTTGATACTGTAGTTAAAATACACATTTTAGTCATGGTCTGGAACATTCCACACCTTACATGTTCAATAAGACACTGCATCATCCAGATGCTCTGAAGGCCATTTATTTGTGGTATATTTGATAATATTGTAATTATAACTAAGATGGTCAATCTTAATGTACTGTCCAATTACCTAAATTATTTCTCATATGCTATTTAGGTACTATTATTTAGGTATTTTAAAAATCCTAATCTTTGGTGAATCATCAGAATGTGCTCAGGGTTCTCATGCTGTTAGCGCAGATGCTATGCTGCTATAGTTCATGTATTTGTTAATTGTACACTAAAAACTCTGTCCTATTCTTTAATGTCCATTACTTATATAAAGAGTAACAGGACTGAGTAACAGTAACAGGAATGAACAGTGTCCTGTAGTTTATTGATTTATTAGTGTGAATATTAGTCAATGTAATACTATTCACTTGATTTCTAAGTTTTACAGTTGAAATTATTGAAGTTGCTGACATTTGAATGTGAATACTATACTAAGAGGGAGCCAGTTCACCACAAAGTGCTGCAGAGAAGCAGTGGTGCTTTTGCACTCGATGTGATGCTGACCCCGAGAGGTAGAGAGAAATATTTACAGAAGAAATGTCAAAAATACAGGAAGAAGCTAAAGTCAGGCAGGAAAAAAACATTAATGACCTCAGTCAGAGAGAAAAGGCAGAACAGAGTATATGTGTCCTGCATTTTCTCCAGCCGAATGTGAAACTGCCCCCTTTTGGTGACATTATGAATATTAAGTAGCTATGTGCATTTTTTTATGACTCCTAGGCCACACAACCCCCACTGCAATGGTTTAAGCTAGGGGGTCACGGTCTCTTTAGCTATTGTGCATTAGGTGTTATCTGCCAAAGAAAAAAGTCATCACTGCTGATGGCCCTTGCCTGCTGTGCTGGTAGACTTTGCAAATGGGGTTCCTTCACTGTCACAATCCCTATATTGTGTAAAAACAAACAATGAAACTAGCTGTGCAGTCTCCCTCCTGTTATTAAGGATTGAAAAATTAAAATTATACATTAACAATGAGGGATGGAGACTCGTGGCTTCCTGACCTATGAAGTTGACTCCTACCTTGGGGGCTAGTAAACTACTGCTGAAGCTTGCAAGGGTAGGCTGTGCCTTCTCTACAGTTCCAATGCTAAGTGCCCCGTAATCATGACAGATTTCCTGACACTGTGAACAGATCTGCTCTTTTAATACACCAGTAGTAACCTGTTGTTAAAGCCTACTCTCCAATTTGGCTGCTTGGACTTACTCCATGTTGTGGTGGATGGCCTGTAACCATGCTAAGCTAGCTCGGATTCAACAGCCATAATTTACTGGGATCAGCAGTACAACAGAAAAAACAGTATAAACAGAAAGCACAACTAGCTGTGACTCCTAGAAAAAAACATTGCAGTGGGGGAGTGTGGCCTATGGGTAATTTAAAAAAACACCTGGCTAATATTTGTGATGGCACCAAAGGGCACGTTTTCATGCCTGGCTGGATGGTATATCCTCTCAAGTACTGTTCACTCACATCCACACATGCACACTCATTCACATATGGACACACATTCCCGATACCCAGTGTTCATTCCTGTTACACAATAGTTTTTTCAAAAAAATAAAATTATACCACAGTTTTTCTTTCAGCTATGTTTGGTTTATCATTAATCCCACTGTTTAATAAATGGCAGGATTTAAAAAAGCTGATAAACTTGGGTCTCCTTTAAAAGGAAAATAGTTTTGCAGTTTTGTAAAAAATACGTGTAAATATTTGATTTGATTTTATTCTTTCAAACATGTAACAACAGTCAATATGTCAACACACATAATTCCACACATATCCACAAATATATTTTCAATTTGCTTATAAATAGTACATGCTTGAACGGAGTAGGAAGAAGTCAGACTTATCTAGTCCTACCCCCTAACATCATCTTACCATCATTGGTTTGCCAGCAGTATTACTACATGGATAATTTTGTTCTACATCACGCTAGTGATATACTAAAAACACCACACTCCCAATGTTACACCTGATTAATCATTAAGCCTGTTCTTGCCCATATCTTGATTGACACATACCTTTATATTTGTGTTTAAACTCATCAATTTTCTTATTGTTTTTTATGTCCACACTTAAATTATTCCATAGTTTTACCCCACTTATGGAAATACAGAATCTTTTTTGGTTGTACGTATAGCATGAATTTTATAATTTAACTGACCCCTTAAATTGTATCCCCCTTCCCTTTCATTAAATAGTTTTTGAATTCCACCAGGTAATAAATTGTTCCTGGCTTTATACATAAACACAGCAGTCTTGTTGTAGCAATGTTTTTAGTCAAAATATCAATTACTTGAACTTAACTTTCCATTCAATTTACTGCAGAATCGTTGCCATTATATTGATTTGGTTCCACGTAGGAGGAGAACACTTATGTTTTCATCACAGCCCCCGGAAGAAAAATTGGCTCAAAGTTCAAGAGGCGTAAACTGAATTGGTCTGTATATTCAGCTGATATATAAAGTTGAAAGCTGAGCCTTGTAGGACTCTTGTAGTATCAGGACTGAGACATTTTCCCTAAACAAAATGATTTTGTACCTTCTGTTTACTGCTTTTATAGGTTTGGCAATTTTGCCGTTATGCCTCTACTTAAGAAATCCTTATGTTTGGAAAGATTTAGGTTATGCAGTTACTTCAATACAAATTGCTTTACGCATGAGTAAAATCAAGAAACAGAAACCATTTTACAGCATTTTGGAGTGTTTTTTGGAGAAAGTGGCGAGACAGCCGCATAAGAAGTTCATAGTTTTTGAGGAAAGCTCTTACACCTACAGCCAAGCCGACAAAGAAAGCAACAGAGTAGCAAGAGCTCTGTCAACTCATGCTGGCCTGAAGGAGGGGGACACGGTGGCCTTGTTCATGGGCAACGAGCCGCACTATGTGTGGATCTGGCTCGCACTGGTCAAGCTTGGATGCACAGCTTCTCTTCTGAACAACAACATCAGATCCAAATCTTTGCTACACTGCTTCTCCTGCTGTGAAGCCAAGGTCCTGGTCGCTGGTGCTGGTGAGCTGGGAAACTTTTGAGGCTGATGCTGATTTAAGAGATTGTACAGAGTGGGCCACAAAAAAAGCAGCCCGTCAACATGAAGGAGAAAGTGTATTGATTTGGGGGCGGGCTACTTTTCCAT